TTTTTTTTATTTTTTTTTTTTTTTTTTTTTTTTTTTTTTCTTTTTTTTTTTTTTTTTTTTTTTTTTTTTTTTTTTTTTTTTTCGCTCATCCTCCCAAAAATTTTTCACTTGGACTTAAAGAATTTTTCAGTCTCCTTCTTTCCTTTCCTTTTCTCTTCTTCTTCTATATCAAGCAAAGTAATACCAAAATGCCTTTCCAAAAGACCGAAAAGTCCTCCGCTTACCACTCCCGTTTCCAAACTCCTTTCCGTAGAAGACAAGAAGGTAAGACCGACTACTACCAAAGAAAGAGATTAGTCACTCAACACAAGGCCAAGTACAACACCCCAAAGTACAGATTAGTCGTTAGATTCACCAACAGAGACATCATTGCCCAAATTGTCTCTTCCCAAATTGTCGGTGATATCGTTTTAACTGCTGCTTACTCCCACGAATTACCAAACTACGGAATTGAGCATGGTTTAACTAACTGGTCCGCCGCTTACGCTACCGGTTTATTAGTCGCCAGAAGAGCTTTACAAAAGTTAGGCTTAGACGAAACCTACAAGGGTGTCGAAGAAGTCGAAGGTGAATTTGAACTCACTGAAGCCGTTGAAGAAGGTCCAAGACCATTCAAGGTCTTCTTGGATATCGGTTTACAAAGAACCACCACTGGTGCCAGAATCTTTGGTGTCTTAAAGGGTGCTTCCGATGGTGGTTTATACGTTCCACACTCTCCAAACAGATTCCCAGGTTGGGATATCGAAGGTGAAGAATTGGATGCCGAATTATTAAGAAAGTACATCATGGGTGGTCACGTTGCCGAATACATGGAAGAATTAATGGATGATGATGAAGAAAGATACAAGGCCATCTTCAAGGGTTACATCGCTGATGAAATTGATGCTGAAGACATTGAAGAAATCTACATCAACGCTCACGAAAAGATTAGAGAAAACCCAGTCTTCAAGCCAACCGAAAAGAAGTTCACCAAGGAACAATACGCTGCTGAATCTAAGAAGTACAGACAAGTTAAGTTGACCAAGGCTGAAAGACAAGCTAAGATTGACAAGAAGATTGCTGATTTCCAAGCTGCTAACTAAATTTTTTGAACTCTTATTGACTTCTGTCTATTGTATAATTCAATAATCACTTTAAAAAATATTAAATAAACAACAAAAAAAAACCAAACAAGATGAGTGTAGATGGGTCGTTAGTGTAGGGTTAGTGGTGGGAGCAGTGAATGTACTGCACTTCCTGCTTTAGTCGCAAGACGCTCGAGAGTTGAAGTAGATTGAATAAACAACAAAAAAAAACCAAACAAGATGAGTGTAGATGGGTCGTTAGTGTAGAGTTAGTGGTGGG